ACATACATACATTCACGCACACACACACACACACAAACACATATTTTACATGTGCGCTTATGCGTGTATGTGTGTGTACGTATGTGTGTGTGTGTGTGTGTGTGTGTGTGTGTGTGTGTGTGTGTGTGTGTGTGTGTGTGTGTGTATGTGTGTGACAGAGAGAGAGAGAGAGAGAGAGAGAGAGAGAGAGAGAGAGAGTGTGTGTGTATGTGTGTGTGTGTGTATTTGTGTGTGTGTGCGCGCGCGCTCGTGCCCACATACACGTATGTGTACGTGTGAGTGTCCGTGAAATAGAGAGTTATTAATGTATATGGTGAATATGACATTAAAGTATGCTATGGCTGAAACACAAAATCTTAGTCTGAGACGAAATTGCTACACACGGGTCAGAAAATTAAAACATATGCCCCTTGCTTAACAAAATATTATAACTCTATCGTCTAGCAAGTAAATCTAATACAAACTTATTAATTTATTTTAATCATACATTCATGTCGTTTTTTAACAAAGTATTCCTAATGGGATATTATTATAAATTATAGTCTTCTATAGCCAAAGTTGACCCCGACGGAAAGACTCGAACTAGTTTGCTCCTAACCTATTTAAACAAAAAAAATCACTGTGTCAATTAGGCTGTTATTACTGTTAACATTATGAAAGAGTATCAGTCATATAATGAGTCAATCATCCTAATAGATACCGTACTTTACAAACAATAAGAGGGAAAAGTCTCTAGTGCCTTACCTCCTGCAAGCGCTCCAGACAGAGAGACTGTGATGAGTAGCACAAAAATCTGGGTTATTTGATCCATTGTTCACGAATTCTCGACAAATTCGATTACTGTAGCTTGTCTCTCCTCAGGTGATCAAGACACCGTCCTTATTAATATGCAGCTAAAAACAAAAAGATGAAATGCCAACCGTATTCTTAATATAATTATGATGATTGTAATATTATTATTATGATTGTAATAGTATTATTATGATTGTAATAGTATTATTATGGTTGTATTGCTCCGAGTTTTTTCTCCTGATGATCTCTTCTTTGTTCTGCTCCGAGTTTTTTCTCCTGATGATCTCTTCTTTGTTCTGCGACGTTATGATAGAAACAGTCGATGACGTGAAACCTGACCACTCGCTCGAGCTCTTTAGCAGCAGTTTTCCCCTATGTTTGGCGCTGTTCCCGTCCGTGTCACCAGACACGATCATTTGGTTTATCGTTATCTTTTCACAGCAGATTGTGGCCGCCCGGACTGAGTAGCTAATATTCGAGTTTCAGTTTGAATGCGGCCCTATTCAGTACATACCAAGTACTCTACAAAAGAATCGATACTGTGAAATCATCATCATCATCATCATCATCGTTGTCATCATCATCATCATCATCATCATCACCATCATCATCGTCATCATCATCATCATTTTTTTAAATGTATGTCTTCCCTTCTACAATTTGCCTTTGGGGTTTCTGAAAAAAGCATAACATTCGGGGAGGTCTGAATCAAAGAGAAGCATTTGACAGGATAATCGTTTTATTATTGCGCAGTAGTATTGTACGTGGCGTCGACAGCTCTCCGCCTTATGTACCGACGGTAGAAGGAGAGAGTAAGTAAGTAAGTAAGTAAGTAAGTAAGTAAGTAAGTAAGTAAGTAAGTAAGTAAAAAGCAAGCTAACGGATACGGAACGACTTTACCTGTAGCAGTCTAAACAAGCTTTAAAGCGGGGAAATTATGAAAAGTCTTAACATTTGGTTTCATCGCAAAAAAAAAGCAAGCTACATTATAGTTTGTTCACCTTCGCCTGGCCACCGTTAAAACAAGAAAAAAAAACTGCTGTATTTAAACTTCTCAGGTTTGTGCATGCGGATCAAAAAGTATTGCTACGTCTTCTGTTGCATCAAACACGCACAAAAAAGAGTGAAAGTGCGTGTGTGTGTGTGTGTGTGTGCGTGTGCGTGTGTGTGTGCGTGTGTGTGTGTGTGTGTGTGTGTGTGTGTGTGTGTGTGTGTGTGTGGGAGAGGGGGGGGGGGGTGGCGGTGAAATTAATTCTAATATATAGCATACGGAAGGGTATTATTCCTCCTTTGTAAGCAGGAAATTTTGTCTCCTAATTTTCCAGCATCATAAACGTCCCTATTATTACTCCTCTCTTATTTCACCTATTTGCCCAAAAATAAACAGCAGACTGAGAAGAAAACGAACGATCCCAGCAATAAACATACAGTTTGATTATAGAGAAGATGGGTTGACTGTTGTTTCGTATATTCTATTTTTTGTTATGACCTTCAGCAACCGAGCGATGCAAAAAGCCAACTAAACTGATGCGCGGTGGCTCTCGTGGCCTAGAGGTTATTAAGGTGTTGGCCTCCCATTCAACGGTCCCGGGTTCGAATCCGGGTAGCGACCGACAAATTTTCTTCTATAACATTGTCTCCTTTCACCTCCTTTCCTGCTCTCTAAGAATGTTCTGTCGCCTGCTTTCGTCTCCTCTTTCTGCCCCATCCCCCTCACCTCCTTCGACCCCTAATCTGGGCTCCTGACTCTT